ATATATATATATATATATATATATATATATATATATATATATATATATATATATATATATATATATATATATATATATATATATATATATATATATATATATATATATATATATATATATATATATATATATATATATATATATATATATATATATATATATATATATATATATATATATATATATATATATATATATATATATATATATATATATATATATATATATATATATATATATATATATATATATATATATATATATATATATATATATATATATATATATATATATATATATATATATATATATATATATATATATATATATATATATATATATATATATATATATATATATATATATATATATATATATATATATATATATATATATATATATATATATATATATATATATATATATATATATATATATATATATATATATATATATATATATATATATATATATATATATATATATATATATATATATATATATATATATATATATATATATATATATATATATATATATATATATATATATATATATATATATATATATATATATATATATATATATATATTACAAAACGATTCTGAGACAATAAGGATATTTTAATATTGTTTTAGCAAAGGTACAAAGTTAAAATCACCTGCTTAATGTTTTGTTTTTCAGTAAAATTAAATTAAAATAGATCCTTTTATTTATAAAAAATTTGTACAAAGAAAAAAACATTCAGAGACTATAAACAGTGTTTGTGTTATTTTAGCAAAAATACACTTAAAATCATTTGCTTAATGTTTTTTTTAGTAAAATTTTATTTTAAAGATTGTAATATTTAATTTTACAAAAAATCAGAGACTAAACATATTTGCAAATACTATTTTAGCAATACTACACTGTTAAAATCACTTGCTTAATGTTTTTTTAGTAAAGTTAAATAAGAAAATAACCACTAATAATATTTTAAACTTGAGACTAAAATTGAGACTACAAACATTAGGGAGCAAAATACACTAATAAAAATCATTTACTTATTATTTTGTCTTCCAGTAGTTTCATTTAAAAAAATCCTAATAATACATTTCACTGAAAAATTAAGACTATAAACGTATTTTTAAGTATTATTTGAGCAAAAATACACTGATAAAGATCACTTGCTTAATGTTTTTTTTAACGAAAATTAAA